TATTTAGGCCCCAAATCAGCTTAAATATTTTAAATATTTTAAATCGGGGCCCGGGGATTTAAAATATTTAAAATATTTAAAATATTTAGGCCCCAAATCAGTTTAAATATTTTAAATATTTTAAATCGGGGGCCCGGGGATTTAAAATATTTAAAATATTTAAAATATTTAAATTATTTAAAATTTTAAATCGGCCCCAGCTCCAGAAATCAGGACCCGGGGATTTAAAATATTTAAAATATTTAAAATATGTAGGCCCCAAATCAGCTTAAATATTTTAAATATTTTAAATCGGGGCCCGGGGATTTAAAATATTTAAAATATTTAGAATATTTAGGCCCCAAATCAGCTTAAATATTTTAAATATGTCAATTCCCGGGAAGAGCCCGATTTAAAATTTTAAATAATTTAAATATTTTAAATATTTTAAATATTTTAAATCGGGGCCCGGGGATTTAAAATATTTAACATATTTAGGCCCCAAATCAGCTTAAATATTTTAAATATTTTAAATCGGGGCCCGGGGATTTAAAATATTTAAAAAAATTAAAATATTTAGGCCCCAAATCAGTTTAAATAATTTAAATATTTTAAATCGGGGCCCGGGGATTTAAAATATTTAAAATATTTAAAATATTTAAATTATTTAAAATTTTAAATCGGCCCCAGCTCCAGAAATCAGGTCGGGATTTAAAATATTTAAAATATTTAAAATAATTAGGCTAAATCAAGCAAATATTTTAAATATTTTAAATCGGGGCCCGGGGATTTAAAATATTTAAAATATTTAAAATATTTAGGCCCCAAATCAGCTTAAATATTTTAAATATTTTAAATCGGGGCCCGGGGATTTAACATATTTAAAATATTCAAAATATTCAGGCCCCAAATCAGTTTAAATATTTTAAATATTTTGAATCGGGGGCCCGGGGATTTAAAATATTTAAAATATTTGAAATATTTAAAATATTTAAATTATTAAAAATTTAATTCGGCCCCAGCTCCAGAAATCAGGAGCCGGGGATTTAAAATATTTAAAATATTTAAAATATTTGAGCCCCAAATCAGCTTAAATATTTTAAATATTTTAAATCGGGGCCCGGGGATTTAAATTATTTAAAATACTTAAAATATTTGAGCCCCAAATCAGCTTAAATATTTTAAATCGGGGCCCGGGGATTCAAAATATTTAAAATATTTAAAATATTTAAATTATTTAAAAATTTAAATCGGCCCCAGCTCCAGAAATCAGGACCCGGGGATTTAAAATATTTAAAATATTTAGGCCCCAAATCAGCTTAAATATTTAAATATTTTCAATCGGGGCCCGGGGATTTAAAATATTTAAAATATTTAGAATATTTAGGCCCCAAATCAGCTTAAATATTTTAAATATTTCAAATCCCGGGAACCCAGGATCTGAGCCCGATTTAAAATTTTAAATAATTGAAATATTTTAAATATTTTAAATATTTTAAGTCGGGGCCAGGGGATTTAAAATATTTAAATTATTTAGGCCCCAAATCAGCTTAAATATTTTAAATATTTTAAATCGGGGCCCGGGGATTTAAAATATTTAAAATATTTAAAATATTTAGGCCCCAAATCAGTTTAAATATTTTAAATATTTTAAAATCGGGGGCCCGGGGATTTAAAATATTTAAAATATTTAAAATATTTAAAATATTTAAATTATTTAAATCGGCCCCAGCTCCAGAAATCAGGACCCGGGGATTTAAAATATTTAAACTATTTAAAATATTTAGGCCCCAAATCAGCTTAAATATTTTAAATATTTTAAATCGGGGCCCGGGGATGTAAAATATTTAAAGTATTTAGAATATTTAGGCCCCAAATCAGCTTAAATATTTTAAATATTTCAATTCCCGGGAACCCAGGATCTGAGCCCGATTTAAAATTATAAATATTTTAATTGTTTTAAATATTTTAAATATTTTAAATCGGGGCCAGGGGATTTAAAATATGTACAATATTTAAAATAGTTAGGCCCCAAATCAGCTTAAATATTTTAAATATTTTAAATCGGGGCCCGGGGATTTAAAATATTTAAAATATTTAAAATATTCAGGCCCCAAATCAGCTTAAATATTGTAAATATTTTAAATCGGGGCCCGGGGATTTAAAATATTTAAAATATTTAGGCCCCAAATCAGCTTAAATATTTTAAATATTTTAAATCGGGGCCCAGGGATTTAAAATATTTAAAATATTTAAATTATTCAGGCCCCAAATCAGTTTAAATATTTTAAATATTTTAAATCGGGGGCCCGGGGATTTAAAATATTTAAAATATTTAAAATATTTAAATTATTTAAAATTTTAAATCGGCCCCAGCTCCAGAAATCAGGACCCGGGGATTTAAAATATTTAAAATATTTAGGCCCCAAATCAGCTTAAATATTTTAAATATTTTAAATCGGGGCCCGGGGATTTAAAATATTTAAAATATTTAAAATATTTAGGCCCCAAATCAGCTTAAATATTTTAAATAGTTCAAATCCCGGGAACCCAGGATCTGAGCCCGATTTAAAATTTTAAATATTTTAAATATTTTAAATATTTTAAATCGGGGCCAGGGGATTTAAAATATTTAAAATATTTAAAATAGTTAGGCCCCACATCAGCTTAAATATTTTAAATATTTTAAATCGGGGGCCCGGGGATTTAAAATATTTAAAATGTTTAAAATATTTAAATTATTTAAAGTTTTAAATCGGCCCCAGCTCCAGAAATCAGGACCCGGGGATTTAAAATATTTAAAATATTTAAAAATATTTAGGCCCCAAATCAGCTTAAATATTTTAAATATTTTAAATCAGGGACCCGGGGATTTAAAATATTTTAAATATTTAAAATATTTAAAATTTTAAATCGGCCCCAGCTCCAGAAATCAGGACCCGGGGATTTAAAATATTTAAAATATTTAAAAGATTTATTTGAGCAGCATTGGGCCTGAAATTGCGCTATATATGCAGGAAAGGGTCCCGCGACACATTATACATACTCTACCCTCTTACGGGGGGGGGGGGCTACCAAACATGAACAACCTGAAACCTCCAAGACCCCGTACAAACTGAGTTACCAAAAAAATATGGGGTGATGACCCATGTTGAGCGGGTCATAGAGACTTCAGGCATTGACAAGTAAAAGCACCATTCCTTATCAAAAAGGGTTCCATGACTAGCATTGGTTTCCTGTTCGTTTGAAGAGAATGGCAGTCGCTGTCCTCAATTCGGGGGAAGTCGAACCTCAACTGAAATCACGTATGCATGAAAATCAGAAACGATGCCAGGCTTAGCAACTACGTTTGGACATCTTGCTTTTCAGGATCCATGTTTATCTTCAGCCATTCCCCCGGCGCTGCGGTCCACTTTTTCGAGCTTCGGTGTGGACCTCGTTCTGGACACGCCAGAGTTGCGCGCGCGTCTCGGACCAAGTGTGCTCACCACACGAAGGGGACCAAGTAGGCACGCTGCAACTTCTCGTATCTCGGCTCGGGACTCCGGGCTCGAGGCTCGGGTTACATTGGGCCGCAGCACTGCAAGTTGGGGGACTCACATACGGCTTGAACGGGAAGATGGTGACCTGTTACCCTTTGAACAAGTGTCACAAAGCGTATCCACTTTTTAGTGTGCAATCCTCAAATCGGCAAATCCCCAAACTGCGAGGAGGAGCGAGGGAAGTCATCCCCACAAAGGGGGATAGCAAATGGGGGTGCAAGAATGAAATTCCTGGAGTTGGCCCCGCAACTTCATTTCGAAGGGGGATAACTACTGCGAAAACCAGCTGCCGAAGATACGGTTCCCCCCTTTGCGCCGACCCCAACATGCCGTTGGCTAAACAGCTGTTGTTCCTTGTGCTTGCCTCTGCGATCCATTTAATTAAACAAGGTATGGATAGAGTTGGTCCCCGGTCACCAGGGAAACCGAAGGACAACGCTGACCAATGTTCAGCCCAAACGATCCCAAACTAATCATCTTTGCGGTTTGATCCCACGCCGACAGTGAAACTTCTAGTGGGTCATGTCTAAACGCCACCAGGTATGGCTGGGAACAAGTCATCTGTTCGAGTCTAAAGGAGCAACCAATCTGTTGTTCCATCCTTCTTCCCAGGCTGCAAGCTGCTTCAAACAGACAAAACAAGACGTCACAAGGCACCACATCCCCCACAGCATCCTATGATACCTATGTGCGCTGTGTTGAAACTCCTCCTGTGGGCTTGCAGAGGCCAGGTTCAGGCACCTGGACAAAGCAAACAAGCCGCTAGATTCGTTTCCCGTCGGTTCCAGGTCATGATCCACACCAAACGAAACCTTAAGGTTGTCTAACTGTCTAACCCTCTAAACTGTTTCTTTTCGCGTTAAATCTTTGCTATGTCACGGATATCTTGCTGAGGTGAGCGCAATGTTTCACACCAGTAAAGCAGGGTCCTTCATTTGCTTCTTCGCCATTCTTGTCTTGTGTCAATCGCGCATTTCTGACAGAACTAGCAGTCCCAACCCATGTACAACGTTTGGCGACTCACTCTCAGACCTAAGTCAATTTGAGTCAACGTGGCCAGGAATGGGGGGGGTCTCCACATAAGGATGTGGAAGACAATCCAGTTGCTGTTGGCCTTTGACATTGACCACAATTGCACCCAGATCAGGCCCTGACCTGACGTCTGTCAACCCAAGCCAAACTATTCTCCAACAGGCAGGGACGGTTTCATTGCCGTCACAAAAGCAGTCTGTGTTTGGGCTGACCATGCTTGACCTCCAATAAACTTGTGCATGGGGCGGAATTCCAACCGCCTGTGATGGCCACAGCTACTGCGGTTGTCACAGGGTTTCAACCAAGAATCGGCCAACTGTCCGAGGACTGACAGCTGACAATTGCAGCCAGCGGCAGGAACACATTTGGCAGGTCCATCAACTCCAAATTAAACTCACAAGTGTGTTCCCTACTAAACATCTGGCAACGCCAGTTCTGAACCCATTCTTACTGCGCTTCAACCGCTGCAAAGAGGGCATGGCTCTCCGAGAGGGCTGCCCAACTACCCAGTCCAGCCCGCGACAAGCTGGCAGTTTCTGACCGGAAGCGCAACTCATCCACCGTCCTGCAACCGGGTAGCTCCGCACCGAACTTGTCGAGGTACCAGTGGTGAGAGGCTGCGGCGCGGGGCGCCAGATTCGCCAAAGACACGCAGAAGATGAAGAGGCCGTTGGGGCCCCAGCTGATGAGGAAGAAACCCAACCACGCCCACAGCCTGACAAAGTCTATTACTGGATCCAAGGCAAGCCCCAATAGTCGCTAGCCAGTGTTGTTGGATGGTGCCCTACACAATCACTGGGTCACACATACGGAAAAAAGGCAGGCCATCATTTGTTGGCCACTCTGTTGGGACACACTCGAATTAAAAGCAAGTGAGTGCTTGCAAAGTTGAGAGTACGAAAACAATGTTGCAGTGACAGGTGAAATTGCCAAGCCATGCACCTATCACAACATCAACATGGAGACTGGCGCAAAGCGACAAATGAAGTGGCCAGGGTTCAACATCCAACAGCAAGGCGTCAAGTGTGACATCAATGTGGTGAACCAAAGATACAAACAAAGAAACACGCAAACAAACACATCAACAAACAAACAGCAAACGAGCAACCGAGCAAACGAGAAAGCGAGAAGCAAGCAAGCAAGCAAGCAAGCAAGCAAGCAAGCAAGCAAGCAAGCAAGCAAGCAAGCAAGCAAGCAAGCAAGCAAGCAAGCAAGCAAGCAAGCAAGCAAGCAAGCAAGCAAGCAAGCAAGCAAGCAAGCAAGCAAGCAAGCAAGCAAGCAAGCAAGCAAGCAAGCAAGCAAGCAAGCAAGCAAGCAAGCAAGCAAGCAAGCAAGCAAGCAAGCAAGCAAGCAAGCAAGCAAGCAAGCAAGCAAGCAAGCAAGCAAGCAAGCAAGCAAATACGCAAAACCCACACACCACGCAGACACACACGCACACACATGTCCCGTCACCTTCTAGGAGTGCATGTTGTTACCAAGTGTCCGTACCTCCCTTCACGGGTCCCGGGGAGGACTAGTTCTGCCAGTCTATCACACACACACACACAGACCCCGCCGTGGGGGAGAAGGAACGTCAAGCCCCTCCCCAACTCCAGGTTATGTCTTTGAGGATGGGACTTTGGGGGTATTAGGCAAAGAGGCGATCAGCTACTGTGAAGGGTAAAACCCGCGGTTCGAACCTACTTGCCGCCGTTGTAAGCCCCTAATTGGGATACAAACTACCTGCGTTACTGAGCATTTACCTTGAGCAAACGACGGGAGACCTAAACCCCAGTTGAGGAGCCTAGACCAAACCCATCTACCCCCCCCTCAAATACACTTTTCGGGCCACTCGCAGAAGTACACCGCTTGGGTGGCATACTCGAAAAGACCCCCGTGAGGGATGCGATATCGCGGGCCCGGGCTGGAGCGCAGCTCGCGCATGAGGTGGTCGTGGTAGACCTCTATCAACGACAATATATGAGGGGCGATAGAGCTACCTGGAGTCTCCGAATCGCTTCGAAACAGGGTTTTCAGAATCAAAAGGATCACGCCCCCAAGTTCGAAGGGTCAAGGAAGCTCCAGGATCAAACATGTTGCTATCTTCTTTTGGCTTTAGTGTGCCAAACAACCGCATGGCGCTTGTATCGGTCTGAATACCCTGTGATCGCAAAGGCAAAGGCAAACTGATTGAACGATGATACGTGCGCCCTTGGGCCTGCGCAGGCGCCCACTCGCAGAACCCGCGTGGCCTAACACCAACATTAAAGACCGAGAAAGGACAAAGGGGCTCTGGCCTGAACAATGCATTCTCCAAGGTGCATCCTGAACAAACAGAGTTAGACTAAGTTACTGTGCTGGACGTCTGGCCCCTGCTCATACATCATCGTGATTGATGCTATGACAATCCCCCTGGTCTCCCTGTTCTCACAGTGCGATATCCAAAACATGATCGGGAGGCCCCACCCCCCTCTGGCCAAACTGGCGAAGCCGGTCAAGTACACCAGCAGGCCAAAGCGGAACCGGAAGCTCCGCAACCAGGAGTTGGTCAAATGATCTCCATGCTCTGCAAACCACCTGCGCACGTGCGTTCAACAGGGCCCATGGAATTGTCACCTACATATCCTTTGACGAGTTGTAACTCCAGCCTGCTTGCCACACAGCTCCCACGTCGCGCAAGTTGGACAATTGGGCATCTTGTGAATGAGAATCAAATGGAACGCGGTGCCCAGCCGGAAGCCTTCACACTCTAGAGGGGATTGCAGTTGCGGAGGCTCGGGCTTATGCGACGGAATTGCGGCTTTGCCAAACGAATAAAACAAGACAACCGCGAAACCAACATGAATTGAAGAACCCACATTGTCTCCCAAGGCCGCGCCATTAAACGGACTTTCCCTGCCTGATTCATCTGGAGCAACGCAGCGCGTTAACTGCACCAACGCAATTACATCCGTGGCGCCTGTCACCCGTCGGTGCCCGTTTCTTTGCACTGGCTCCCCGCCTGCCGTTCAGGCAGCCATGGGTTACCGTCACCATCCAGCCGCCGACAGCTGGCAACAGTGAGAAGTTGCTGCGAGCCCCAGGGTGTGGTCCTTGGATAGATCGGCGAGTCGAACCACGCGCAGCAGCAATGCTTGAGCTACCAAAACCCTACACGTCCAAAGATCTAGCTAGGCGCGGTCGTCCTGAGAGGTCGTCCTGAGAGGACATAACTCGCTTTCTACATTGGCAAAGCTGTTCGTACTGTCCATCGGCCTGACGAGTTAGCAAAGGACAACAGCGCCAACAGCCATGGGACACGCTTGCTGTAAATGGCTTGTGGGACGGAAACTGCGCAGAACTGACGCCGGACCGCCTCTCGGTTTGCCGAGTGGCGGAGCAAATAGGGGTAAACCCAGCCCCTGTAGCTGTAGTGCAGGCACATGACCTTGGGTCTCTCGTTTTGGAGATTAATCCTTGTTCAAGGACTCCAAGTGAAAACAAAAGGAAACCAACCAACAAGCTTTGGGATTGCCGCATACTGAGACACATCCACCTCAGGGGCAACACAGCTCTAGTAATCGGATGCTTGGCAAACACGAAGAAGTGATACCTGGCTGCGTCGAAACAAGGCAACCAACTGATTGTAGGCCTAAGGAAATAGCTCACGATCAATTGATTGTTAGGGCTGTAAGAATCTTGACTGACTGCTAACGGCACAAATGTTTTGCCTTTGTCAATACACAGCGTGCTCTGAACAGCGCGCTGCTTTGTGCCTGGACTGGGCTATGAATACAGTTTCGTTGCCAAGCGACGTACACAAGCGCACACACACAAACACACACCACACAAACACGCACTCCAACCACGCACACGCACAAACACAGACACAGACGCAGACGCAGACACAGACACAGACGCAGACGCAGACACAGACATGCAGGCACAGGCGGCGCAGGCACAGGCACACAGAGACACAAGCACAAGCACAAACACAAACTCAAACACACACACACACACACACACACCCACACACCCACCCACCCACCCACCCACACACCCAAACACCCACACACCCACGCACGCCGCACGCACGCACGCACGCGCGCACGCACGCACGCACGCACGCACGCACGCACGCACGCACCCACACACACACACACAAACACACACACACACACACAGACACACACACACACACAGACACACACACACACACACACACACACACACACACACACACACACACACACACACACACACACACACACACACACACACACACACACACACACACACACACACACACACACACACACACACACACACACACACACACACACACACACACACACACACACACACACACACAGCCCGCACGCACGCACGCACGCACGCACGCACGCACGCACGCACGCACGCACGCACGCACGCACGCACGCACGCACGCACGCACGCACGCACGCACGCACGCACGCACGCACGCACGCACGCACGCACGCACGCACGCACGCACGCACGCACGCACGCACGCACGCACGCACGCACGCACGCACGCACGCACGCACGCACGCACGCCCGCACGCACGCACGCACGCACGCACGCACGCACGCACGCACGCACGCACGCACGCACGCACGCACGCACGCACGCACGCACGCACGCACGCACGCACGCACGCACGCACGCACGCACGCACGCACACGCACACGCACACGCACACGCACACGCACACGCACACGCACACGCACACGCACACGCACACACACAAAAAGATTTTTCCTTTGATTCGGGGCGTCGAATTGAATCGGGGCGTCGTTGCGAGGCAGTAACAGGGGTTTATTTCAAAGGCATTTCACAGGTGTAAGGACTGGGTCAAACTTCCAAAAACATGGACTGTTGGAGGGGGTAGTTTGCTCACCCCAAGCCACACGCGGCCACCTTCACGTACCCGTTGTCAACCCTGGGTGTACCCATTTTAAACCTTAAGGGTACCTGAGTCTGTTGCGGGTACTCCGCCCGACGCCCGCTGCGCTGGGGGGGTCGCGGCGGTCCGCCAGGGCTCGGGGCTTGCTTTCCGCACTCTCCTCTCCATCGGAAGAGTTTTAAACGTTTGGCCCATTGAAGGGCAACCCTTCAGAAAAAACACGCTCAGAAGGGAAACTCGCGTTGGCAACTTACGCAGTTATGTGTTTAAATATACGCTTCTAAGCCTCACGTTTTGGCAGAACATGAGCTACCAGTAAAAAGGTTCGTACTAGGGCTACGCGTTGGAGTTGACTTGGGTGAAAGACACGAGAAACGAAGGTGGCCATGCTAGTAAGAAACATAAGTACAAGTAAAAGGCGAGAGAATGATAACCCGGTCCAAACGGATCTTTGCACATCTTCAATACTGTGTAAAGGACCTTGGAAAGGTCCTGAGGCTTATCACGAACGGGCATGATTTTAGATAAGTGACTGACCCACCCGAGATTCACCAGAAACGCAATGGCCAAGCATGTGTAAGCTAAATTGCCCACACCCATTTCTGATAGACTTAGGGTTGAGTACGGGGCGAACTTGTTACACGTCGAAATTTGTGACGATTCGCCGCGATATGTT